GTACCTCCTGACTCAGGGGGATTGTTGGGGGTGCCTCCTGGCTCGGGGGGTTCCCGTTTCTCACAAAGAGGACATGTTGGGGGTGTCCCTTGCCTTGCTAAGGAGGGTAGGGGTGTCCCCTGCCTCACTAAGGGGTCGTGTTTTAGTTTGTCTACCTTATTTCTGAGATTGGCCCGCCCATGCTTTGATATCGTACTTGGGAGGCTCTGGCTCCCTAAATGTCTTCACTTTCCTGAATAATGAAAACAGCCAATCAGATTTGTGCTTTTATTTTGTAAACTGCGTGTTCAGAAATGTCCTTCCTGGTCAATGAGATTCACCAGCTGGAAGACCTCACAGCCACTGTCCACAATACTGAGGAAAGATTCCGGGACACTTGGAGAGCGTGGACGCACTTCACCACGACTGACCCGTACCTGCAAACCATGACTCCGGTTGGTGGCCCTAAGGTGCGGCGTCTCGTAGGGTCGCCACATACACTAGATCAATGTAAGCTAATTGCCCTGTTCAGGGCTACCTGGTCTCCAATTTCACCCCGAGGGAGACTTGGGTGTTGGCAAGAGTCCTCTCCCTTCCTATACCTTACCCCACTACCTTATACCTTTATTTTCAACCTAGCTAATACCTTTTCCTTTTCCTCCCGTTCTACGCCTCTAGTAGATCCTGTTTTGAACGATTCGCTCAGCGATTAAAAGTTAATCGGTGTGTTGTCTCCGAGTGCGGGGGCCCGAGCTCCTAGTTTTGTATGCCCCTATGTTTCACATGTGCAACCAAACTCTATCGGAGTGGGTTTAGTCTGGAGGGCACTGCCTTTGTTTACATCGGGGAGCGGCTCCCAAACTCGGTCGCAATCTAGAGTTTGCTACTGTATGAATACGTGCCAAATATAGTGCAGTATGTTACTCGCAGACGTGACATGGTCGCACCAGGTTGTTGAGACCGGAACACTTTGATACGCTATTGTGCCTTGATGCGATGCTGATGTTATCTTTTATTTTATTTTTTTTTTCTGTTTTCTTGTTAATTGATGTTCAACTACTGGCTGCCTGCGTGCAGGCCTTAATGATCACCTTACATGTAAACATTTACTTTTGT